GTTTTGCACTTTCAAAGGAGTATCTTTGTATTAACTTGAATAAGTGTTTGTACAAAGAGACGAACATCCTAGTAAGAGAATGTCATCGTAAAAAATGAAAATTGATACGAAGAAAAGAGCAACTATGTGAAATAATCCCATGGGGTTCCCATTATGCTATAGCCTTCATGTCTCTGAGTGTCTCATCCATTTGCTGCTTTATATGAAGCTGATTGGATTGATTAATACCGTTTGATTTTGATGATTGATGATGAAGATTGGTTGTAAGGTAATCTAACAGGACATAGTCATACGCTTTGAATCCCTAACTTTTTCCTGAACCGCTCTTTTAGGTTTTCAGTCCACCGGGATACCCTTTTTTTTCCCAAGCCGCCCTTTCAGGTTTTCAGCTGCCGGGTGTACAATTTTTTTTTGTAATTTATCCCTAATTTTTGCCCGAACCCTTTTGGTTCGCCGGGATGCCCTGATTTTTTCCTAGGGGAGTTGACCTAGCAGGTCTTTGTTTATGTGTAGTATCTTCTAACTATGTGCACGTTTACAGGGTGTGGAAGGTCGTCGCCATCCATAGTGGTTAAGATTATTGCTCCACCAGAGAATATATTTTTAATCATAAATGGTCCTTCGTATGTAGGAGTCCATTTTCCCCTGGGATCACCTTGTGGAAATATGATACGCTTGATTACCAATTCACCAACCTGATATACCTCACCTCTGACCTTCTTGTTAAAAGCTTTGATCATACGTTTTTGGTACATCTGACCATGGCAGACAGCTGTAAGCCTCTTCTCATCAATCAAGTTCAACTGGTCAAATCGAGTTTGAATCCATTCATCTTCACTCAACCTCGCATCCTTTATGATTCTCAAAGAAGGTATTTGGACTTCAATTGGTAGAACAACTTCTATGCCGTATACCAAGGAGAAAGGAGTTCCCCCTATTGATGTGCGCGTCGTGGTACAGTAACCATGGAGAGAGGATGATAACATCTCATGCCAGTCCTTGTAGGCCACTTTCATTTTTTGTATGATCTTCTTGATGTTTTTATTAGAGGCTTCTACAGCGCCATTCATCTTCGGAAGGAGAAGAGTTATGATGTTGGATCTTGAATTGCACGCATAGTGCAGTGATCATAGTATTGTTGAGATTTGTACCATTATTTGTGATGATTCTTTCCGAAATACCGTATCGACAGATAAGATTCTATTTGATGAATCGGGCCATAACATTCTTGGTGACAGAAGCGAAGGATGCTGCCTCAACCCATTTCGTGAAGTAGTCAATGGCAGCCAAGATAAAGCGGTGTCTGTAATAGCACAGGCTGCCTTCGTATGTAGGAGTCCATTTGCCCCTGGGATCACCTTGTGGCAATATGATACGCTTTATTACCAAGTCACCAACCTGATATACCCGACGTCTGACCTTCTTGTTAAAAGTTTTGATCATACGTTTTTGGTACATCTGACCATGGCAGACAACTGTAAGCCTCTTCTCATCAATCAAGTTCAACTGGTCATATCGAGTTTGAATCCATTCATATTCACTCAACCCCACATCCTTTATGATTCTCAAAGAAGGTATTTAGACTTCAATTGGTAGAACAACTTCCATGCCGTATACCAAGGAGAAAGGAGTTTCCCCTGTTGATGTGCGCGCCGTGGTACAGTAACCGTGGAGAGCGAATGGTAACATCTCATGCCAGTCCTTGTAGGTCACTGTCATTTTTTGTATGACCTTCTTGATGTTTTTATTAGCGGCTTCTACAATGTCATTCATCTTCGGAAGGAGAAGAGTTATGATGTTGGATCTTGAATTGCATGCATAGTGTAGTGATCATAGTATTGTTGAGATTTGTACCATTATCTGTTATGATTCTTTCCGGAATACCGTATCAACAGATAAGATTCTGTTTAATGAATCGGGCCACAACATTCTTGGTGACAAAAGTGAAGGATGCTACCTCAACCCATTTCGTGAAGTAGTCAATGGCAACCAAGATGAAGCAGTATCTGGAATAGCCCAGGCTGCCTTCATATGTAGGAGTCCATTTTCCCTTGGGATCACCTTGTGACAATATGATAAGCTTGATTACCAAGTCACCAACCTGATATACCTGACGTCTGACCTTCTTGTTAAAAGCTTTGATCATACGTTTTTGGTACATCTGACCATGGAAGACAGTTGTAAGCCTCTTCTCATTAATAAAGTTCAACTGGTCAAATCAAGTTTGAATCCATTCATCTTCACTCAACCCCGCATCATTTATGATTCTCAAAGAAGGTATTTGGACTTCAATTGGTAGAACAACTTCCATGCCGTATACCAAGGAGAAAGGAGTTTCCCATGTTGATGTACGCACCATGGTACGGTAACCGTGGAGAGCGAATGGTAACATCTCATGCCAGTCTTTATAGGTCACTGTCACTTTTTGTATGATCTTCTTGATGTTTTTATTAGCGGCTTCTATAGCGCCCTTCATCTTCGGAAGGAGAAGAGTTATGATGTTGGATCTTGAATTACGCGCATAGTGCAGTGATCATAGTATTGTTAGGATTTGTACCATTATCTGTGATGATTATTTCCGGAATACCATATCGACAGATAAGATTCTGTTTGATGAATCGGGCCACAACATTCTTGGTGACAGAAGCGAAGGATGCTGCCTCAACCCATTTCGTGAAGTAGTCAATGGCAACCAAGATGAAGCGATGTCTGTAATAGCCCAGGCTGCCTTCAGGATTATTGACTGACCCCGATGTCTATAATAGCCCAGGCTGCCTTAAGGATTATTTACTGACCCCACAAACCAACACAGGTCTTTTCAGCGTGTTTTATCCTCACTCACATGATTTTTGGGAAACTTCCCAGAAGGTCACCCATCCCAGAATTGCTCCAAATTAAGCACGCTTGACTACGGAGTTCTTATGAATGAGCTACCGAAAAGAAGATGCATCTTGTTTGTATAGGTAGTACCAATTAATCCTTATAATCCTTCCTTCAACCATGGAGTCCCATATCTGCATACCATCGGGACCCCTCTCATTCTGACGTGGCGACCACCATTTTCCCTCTTAGGCCTCGGGTGTTGTAGCGGTGAAAATCGGAGATCAAGCTATTAATTAACTTGACTCACAAAAGCAAGAGTCGCCACCGCGCTTTATTATTTCCAAGGGAAAAGGGAAAAGAGCGAAATAAAACCCTAAAATATGCAATGTAAAATAATATTTAAAAGTAATGAAAATACAATGTGTTTTTAAAAGAGATCGAGAGTTCGGGGGTTGGTTATACAATGGGAAGGTATTAGCACCCAATGCATCTGCGGTACTCCGCAGGAACCTTTTGAAATATCTGTTTTTGGTTAAAATTGTTTGTTTAGTTGAATGGGTATGGATGAGATTTTGAAGATACGACGACCTAGTGTTGAAGTTTTGACTTAAAAGGGGTGTGAGTTTAAAAATTGATTTGTAGGAGATTTGTCTTAAGAGCAACAAAACTAAAAAATTATGAAGGGATTTCACATAATCGTATTAGATACCCGATGACATGAAGTCAACAAATTAATTCTTTCCCTTGGATTAAATCGAGCGAGCAAAATAAAATAGACATCAAGATATAAGCAATCAAAATTCACAAGAAAATAAATATAACGAAACAGATTAATGACCTAAAGGCATCGAGAAATTAAAATGACAAAGATATTTAAATAAAATAAAAGAGAATGTAACTAATTATCTAAAGAAGTTATTTAAACTAAATTAAAAATTTAAGATTACTTACTAAAAAAAATTCTAAACTAACTACAAATTCTAAGGTTGCAAAAATAGTTCTAAAATTACTAAATTAGATCTAAGCTAAATTAAAAATTTTAAAAATTAGTAAATTAAATCTAAATTAAATAAAAATTCCAAGGTTGCTAATCTAAAACAAAAAAGTTCCAAAGTTACTAAACTAAATCTAAATCAAATAAAATTCTAAAAGAATATTAAACTAATTCTAAACAACTAAAAATTCTAAACTTATTAAACTAATTCTAAATCAAATAAAAATTATAAACTCATTAAACTAGTTCTAAATCAAATAAAGTTCTAAAGTCCCTAAACTAAAACTAACAACTAAAATTCTAAAGTTAACTTAAATAAAATCAAATAAAATTCTAAAGTTTACTAAATTAAAACTAAAACAAATAAAATTCTAAAATTTACTAAGTCAAATCTAAATCAAATAAAATCCTAAAGTTACAATAAAAACCTAAAGTTACTAAAATAAAACTAAAACAAAATAAAATTCCAAAGTTTACTAAGTCAAATCTAAATGAAATAAAATCCTAAAGTTACTAAAATAAAACTAAAACAAAATAAAATTCTAAAGTTTACTAAGTCAAATCTAAATGAAATAAAATCCTAAAGTTACTAAATTAAAACTAAAACAAAATAAAATTCTAAAGTTTACTAAGTCAAATCTAAATAAAATAAAATCCTAAAGTTACTAAAATAAAACTAAAACAAAATAAAATTCTAAAGTTTACTAAGTCAAATCTAAATGAAATAAAATCCTAAAGTTACTAAATTAAAACTAAAACAAATAAAATTCTAAAATTTACTAACTAAGCTTAATAAAAAAATTCTAAACTTACCAACTAATTCTAAAGAAAAATATTAAGTTGACTCCAAACTAAACTAAATAAAACAAAATGTCTAATTTAAGAACAAAATTATATGATTAATTAAAACTAACTAACCTAAATAAATGAAATATAGCTTAGAAAAAAAATCAAATTGAATAGAACAATGGTGTATAGCAGTAAAGGGAAGGAGTTGCCATGAATTTCGTATGGGCTCAGTGGAAAATGGCACGCCCAAGTTATGAGTAATATATATAAAAAAAACTGGAAATACACAAAATTGCAGCTGGGCCGAACCGGGTCAGGCCTATACCCACTGCCCTGTAACACTCAAATTGGTTTAGAAAAACCCTAAAGGAAAAAGAAGAAACCAGTGCCTCCTATGTTCAACTTTATGTATGTAAAAAAGCAGAACAACGCTCCATATTTTGTGCTTCTCTCAAAAGCCAATTGTTCTCCATCAACTTTTTCTATTCTATCATTATTCTATTCATCATCAGCAAAAGAAACTTTTATCTCTCAATCTCTACCTCCGTTTCAATCCGATTTCACGAGCAACAACAAAAACAAACAACCTCTGTCTCTCTCGATCGCTCTCTTCTAGTTTCAAAGCGAAACAAAAATAATACCAACACTTTCCGTCCGTGGTGATTACTCCTTCCGTTCTATTGTTCATGATACAAGTAATAGAAAGAACAACTAATTTTTTGTATCTTTGTTTTCACTATGAAATCAAGGTTCCGTTGATTTTTTTCTTCTGGAAATAATCTCACACGATATTCATCAGTGGAATAAACATTCAATAATATGGTTTCAGTAACAACAACAATCACAACATCAGATATGACAGAGCAAACAACAACAATATATCAATTACACCAATATATTGAGAATGAGAAAACTTACAAGTTCAGCGCTAGTCTGAGGGTTTCAATTTCAGTAACAGATCTAGAAAGAAAACCATAGTGAAATGAAAAATCCAGGTAATTTGTTTTTCCTTTTCTTCAATTTTGATTCTGAATAATCTTCTGAGATAAGTGATGCTTGTTGTCCTGCTTCTATTTTTTGTAACTTCTTGCAGGTTGCTAAGTTGAAAGCTTTTTCTATGATTTTGTGGTGTTTGTGAGTATGGTGAATTTATACAAAGAATTGAGGAAAGGAAACATGTAGTAGAGGAAAAAGGTTTATGATAATTTTCTGCAGAATATTGCTGCAAATTTGTTTGAAGTTGGCGGAAGATTTTATGATGTTTGTGCAAAATTTTTGTAGTAACTACTGCTATTGTTGAAGGTACTTTTTGTGTTATGTGGTATAGTTACATGGTGTATATAAGGCTGTACATTAGATGATTTTTTTAGTTTTCTATATGAAAAAAAATCCCCTAATCTGTAACTCTCTCCCTACTAGTTTTCTTTTTTTTGTCCCCCTTTCTGTTGAATGATATCTTAGTTTTATAGGAAAAAAATGATAAAATTTGGGGGGAAAAGTTGGTGCATTTGGACCAAATTGTTAAACTGTCTTCATAGCTTTTTTCTTTAGTTTTGAGTTTTGCTTGTTTAGTGTATTGGCTGCATTTTTTTGGACTCATGTAACAGGCTAGATGGCAAGGTCTTAGTACAGGGCAGCAGCATAACTAGTTTGACAGCAGCATAACTAGTTTGACAGCAACATAACAGTAATCTTGTGGGTATATTGTAGCATGAAGAGAATGGTCCCAAACTGATTTCTTATTATGACAAAACAAAAAAAAACTATTGAAACACAATAATAATAATAATAATAATAATAATAATAATAATAATAATAATAATAATAATAATAATAATAATAATAATAATAATAATAATAATAATAATAAAAGGAAAAGGATTAAACTAAAATTTGCAAAGAACAATAATAAAAAAAAGAGAAATTATAATTAATTTTAATTTTAACAATAACCCAACTTAAAAATTGAATTAAAATTAGAATCAAATCAAGACTAATATTGAAAGAAAGAAGAAAAAATTATAATAACTAAAAGAATAAAAAGGAAAAGATATTAACTATATATTTTATGATTTTTGAATTAAAGTGAAATGCTAAAATAAAATAATGATAACACATATTTTTTGAGATTTTTTACTAAATTAAATCTAAAAGATTATAATTTTGGTTTAAATGATACAAGAACAAAAATCTAAATGAAATTTAAAGAGACTATTTTTTGTGAATAAAAATGTAAATAAAATGAAGATGACATGAACTAAATATATTTTTTTAAAGGATTTTTTTCTCCAGGAAATAAGAATAAAAGAAGAGAAAGTGTAAAATGTATGGTCGGACAAAACATATTCCAAAATTAAGAATCAAATTCCTGAAACGACTTCTAACGTTAACAATTTTTCGTGGCTTCTCAATGCATAATTTGCCCTTGACTTGTAAAGAAAAGTTGTAGATGATGTCAAGGAAAATCATGTGCAAAAACAACCGCTCAAAAATATCACAATTTGAAGAAGTTATGAAAATTTTAAAATCTAATTCGAGAATTGACAAAAATAGGTCGAATCACCTGTGAACACTTGCTATGTAATGATGTAGATGGGAGGTGGTATCTTAGGTAAAAAATTTGGGTATGACAGCTGCCCCTATTTAAGTTTCTTCTATCTGGAGATGTGAAGATTGGAATCTTCATTTCGACGAGATTGAAGGGACTTAAATATAGAATACATAATTTTTGGCCTTAAGATACCGCAATTATGTTTATGATATGATATGAATGTAATATTTTGAATTTAATGAGGAACGATGCTGCATGAGACAAACTACTATTGGAGAAACCAAGCACATTATACAGTAATCCCACATGAGAAGAGATTATAACTCCACTAGGGAACAGAGTCATAGACTTCAAATGAGAGACTCTTGAATGATTTACATCAGTATTGAGACTGGAGAAGGGAAAGGATTGACATTAACATTGTGAATGGAAAAGGAAATGATTGACATCAGTACTGAGACCGGAAAATGATTGACATCAGCACTGTGGCTGGAAAACAAAATGATTGACATCAGCACTGTGACCGGAAAATGATTGACATCAGCATTGTGGCTGGAAAACAAAATGATTGACATCAGCACTGTGACTGGAAAATGATTGACATCAGCACTGTGGCTGGAAAACAAAATGATTGACATCAGCACTGTGACTGGAAAATGATTGGCATCAGTATTGAGACTAGGAATAAACATCTCTGACTTCTAAGTTTTACCAAGAACGGTAACACATTCTTCTTTAACCAAGATATCGCTTGAAAAGGATAAAATACAAACTTCCCCATGGGACTTTTCCGAAGGGATGCCGTTGGCTGAGTAGACATTATTGTTGGGGATACACAAGCTGCTCAAATAAAGAGGCCGCCACTTGCTATCTTTCAAAGGTGTCAATAACATACGAGTTTCTCGTGAAGAGACCGCCGCTTTTTGTTTTTAAAGGTGACAGTAACACACAAGTTGTTCATGAAGAGACTGTCGTTTGCTGTTTTTCAAGAGATAACAATAACACACAAGTTGCTCATGAAGAGACCGCCGCTTGCTGTTTTCAACGGTGACAATAACATACAAGTTGCTCATGAAGAGGCTGCCGCTTGCTGTTTTCTCTAAGGTATCAATAACATACAAGTTGCTCATGAAGAGACCGCCGCTTGATGTTTTCAAAGGTGTCAATAACATACAAGTTGCTCATGAAGAGACCGCCGCTTGATGTTTTTCAATAACACACAAGTTGCTCATGAAGAGACCGCCGCTTGATGTTTTGAAAGGTGACAGTAACACACAAGTTGCTCATGAAGAGACCGCCGCTTGCTGTTTTGTTGAAGATACTCATAAAATATCGTGAAGATATTGCTGGAGGTGAGAATCAATAATTTCATCGGGGATGGACAAACTGCTCATGAAGAGACCGCCATTTGTCATAACTTAAAGAAATTCAGAAATAATCAAACTGCTCAAATAAGGAGTCAGTCGCTTGTTGTCACGTCGATATTCCAGAAGAAGGTTATGATAACACTACTAGGGAACAAAGTTCCTCTTCAATGGGGAACCATGAATAAATCCTTCCTAAGGAGACCACGTATTTACCTTGCAAAATAAATGCACTCTCCATCTAGGTTTCACAGCCTAGAGATATCCACAGGGTATCGTTCACAAGAAACAAAGCTCAATCCAGGAATAAACTGGAGAGAAAACAGTCAAACAAGACTCCACCCAATGAGGAAACAACTCAAATGGGGATTTATCCTATCCAGAGATGGAAAAGGAAAGCTAAAGCAAGATTCTTCCACGAGAGTTAACTCAGTGGGGAATTAGAAAGGAGGCGCACTTTCTGCTTAAGTTGACACTCTATTTGGAAAGATCAAATACACTATTTGAATAGACACAACCAAGGTATACGAACTCAATGGCATCAACAAATACAACTGTGCATGCATGATGCAAGTGTGAATGAATAAATGAATGTCATGTATATGCTGACAAAACAGACAGGGGAGATAGACAGAAGATGATAAGACATCACATCACAAACCCAACACTCAGCTAATCTCAACAAGATGGGAACATTACTGGAGATAGAACACATGCCATCATTGGAGCAAGGTCCTTTTACAAGGCTTAAATCTCTTTGGAGAGGGAGATATTTTCAGGTAGAAAACCCAAAGTCCAGTCTTCTATTGCAAACAATCCATTGAAAGGATAACAACAGAAACAAAGTTTCAGCTGGAAAAAGTCATGCTTAGCTGGAGATACTGGGAACACCACCCTCTGATAATGTGTGCAAAACATATCTTGACAAATCTGGATTGCCCCTGGGACTAATTTTGGATGCCCCAAGTTTACTGCTGATAAGATGCATGTTGCATGACCATTCTTGCGAATAACTTCACTTCTAGAATGCCCCAAGCTATCTGGTTGATGAGGATAAATCGTCTCAAGAGGATTTTACAAAAGACCTGGCATTCACCATGCTCTGGTGTCTTCAAACTCTTAGAGAGATTCATCGAATCTCGACGTGATTGCCCCGGATTAACTGTAGTTGGCACAACAAAGTCTTCAAATTTTGCCCCAATAAAGAGTAAAGAAGTTGGGAAAGCATTAACTGGAAGAAGCAACATGTCCGTGCTTAAGGTCTTCAGCTGACATGCCCCTGGATATGATTTTTTCTTGAAATGATTCTCCAATTACTCAACATAGTTTCAAGCCTTAAAAGAATAAACTCATCATTGCTGCTTATATGTGAGCTTCCTTGATATCAAACAAATGTTTTGCAGTTAGAAAAGTTTATTATGAGAATGAAAATTCTAATGCAACAGTTATGTAAGTCTTGAAGATTTTGAAAAGATATCGCACAAATTTTGCGAGTTAGAGCACCATTTGTTTTTGTATAGGAAAAACATATGAAACCAACATAACTATTTAGAACATTCATGGGAGTCAGGAACACTATCTCATTGAAGTATGCTTTCAAAATAACCTTGCTTCAATTAGGACTTTTGAAGGTTAAATCGTGGCCTGGTTCATGGTTTTTAGAAAAAAAGATTTTTAAGGCTCAAAATTTATAGGTGCCCA